CACCAAAACTAGTGTTTTATTTATTATACACAAAAATAACTTAAGATTTATGTCAATTATAATATAAATACATTAAAAATATTATAAATTCTATTTAAAATATAAGTTAAAAAATAATTCTTACAATTTATTTTTGTTAAATGTGAATAATTTGTGTTATGTACTAAAGTGTATATTTTGAGACAAAATTGGAAATTATATTTTAATATCAATTATTTGATTCCGCTAATATTATAACTTATTTATATTTCTTAACATTATTCACATTCTAAGGTAAGTTTATTTTAATAAAAAAATATTACATATTCATGTAATTCCTTGATAGATTTTTAATAATTTCCTATAATTTTATTATGCAAATAGTGGTGTGAAAAAGTGAATGCAAATTTCTATGAGAATTACTAAATTATATTTTTAATAAGCACATTTAATTTATTTTATAACTCACAAACCTTTAACAATATTTTTTATTTGTATGCCATATACAGTATACCAATGAAATAACATATTACATAATAAATATTTAATAAGATTACTTTTAATTTTAATATACTAAATCTTAAATCATAATTATATTTAATTTGAATACTAAAATTTGTTTATTTAATAATGTTTTAAGTCAAAAATATCATTTGTTTCAATTAATATTGCTGTAAATAAGATTAATTAATGTTCAAATGTCTCATTAAAGAAAATATATACCTTATTTTTAATTCTAGTAATAATATTTTGATTTTCATAATATTAATTTAGTAATTTAAATAATTAGGTTTAGTAAGATTAAATGTAGATAATAATTGTTTTAAATAGTTAATGGCATAGTTAGATTCTTGTGCAGTGCTTCAATCCAAAATGTAGAAACATTTTAAAAGTATTTTATATTTAGTTTTAATGACTTGTTTTGATTTAAAACATTCATCGTTGAAATGGCACTCAATGAGAGAAAACACAGTTTCAAACATTTCTAATAGTGATGAATGACATGAATGGCATGTTTTGAGTGGATTTTGTTTTTTAGAAAATATTATTTGATTTTATTTTTGAGGATAAAAGTAAACATAGGGTCTAATGAATTGAACAAAGAATCATTCAATTCAAGGATAATTCATTCAAATCTTATATTATATTTAACAATAATTATATATTCTAAGCATGTAAATATTTATTTTAATATGATACAAAATATAAGATATTTTTGCTCAAACTATAAATGTTGTAAAATTTAATATGAAAGTAAATTTATGGTAAAATAATATGACATTTTCAAAATGCAAAAATAATTCCATATTTGCTTTCAGCTTATATTATATGTCACTAAACGATAGTCTAAAATAGTATATAATTTTCTAATCAATCAATAATCTAATGTTAATAATTAGGAAATAAGTTATTATATTATTAGTTTATTACATGGTTGCTTAAAATATCGCTTTTATTTCATAATAAGTTTTGTTAAAAGTTCAGTAACTGATAAAATGTTGGAATTTTTATATGTTTTCAAATTCGTATATTAAAAATGTATAGAAACAAGATTTTTAAAAATCGTTATTTGATGATAATTTTAAAAATTTAATTTGTATAACATATTCTTAAAATAATTTTAAAACATATTTAATATAAATAACATCAAATCTTACTCAACATATAGATAAAAAATATATGAAATTCTTATTATACTTTGTACAATACTGTATATGATTTTCTGTTTATTGAATACAATAGTTTATAAAATGAGTATTATTTTAGTTCTAACTTGTAAGTAAAAAATAAGTCTATAAAATTATTCTAGTATATAATAAGTAAATAAACAAACTATTATTAAATATATTCTACATTGTAGAATCTACAATTAAGTTACTACTATATAATTGTTTCAGATTAAAATTTTAACCATTTGTCAAAAGTTTGATTTTAAAATCTATGACATTAAGACAACATTCAATTAAAATATATTTATATATCACTAAAAATCTAGAAATTTGACAAAACATATCACCTATTATGACACGAAAAACTAAACTTTGTGTTTATATCATATTCTAGTGCTTTTAATCATTGGCATCCAATCTTAACAATGACTATGGATTTAGTTGGAATCACTCGTATGTTATATGATTTTTATTTAGTTTAGTAAAACTCTTTTGAATTACACATTATCTGTAATATTTTAATCTATAGGTTTACTAATTTATAATTATTAATAATTGTTTTTATAATAGAATAATAAAAATGGAAAAACTATGCAATTCTTTAAAGTTGGTGTTAATTAGTCTAAAATTACTGATTATAACATCTTTGGTAAGAGAAAGCAATGGCTGTTCGTGTATACAATCGCACCCTCAGGAACACTACTGTTCTGCTGATTTCAGTTGAGTTTTATTTATTTAACTAATTTTGCTAATTTCAAGGCCTGTAGGTAAGTCATTACATAGCAATCAGCAAACTATTATTATACTGGTTAATTTTTGAGAATTCAGTGTGCTTACTTTATTCAAACGAATAGAATTAGTGAAATAATAAATTACATTGTCTTTCACATCCGTACCAAACAGTAGCCATAGTTCAGGTCAAACGGTTGTCTAAACTATCAAAGTATGATACGTTTGACGGACGGGTACTTTCATATCACGTTAAAGTGAAAAAAGAATTTAAGGTATTTATCTGATCTTGACATTAATATATCAATTGAAATTATTTACTTCTGATATAATATTACAAACTTAATACTTTATATTAAATGCTGGTGTACTTATGATTGAGTTTTGAAATGTTTTGTTAAAATTTAATTTTTATATTTTCAAATAAGATGTCACAAAAAGCAGCCAAAGCTTTAAGTCATGGCTTAATTTGGACACCAAATTCTGTTCATGGAATGGCAACTTGTGGTCGGAAACTCAAATATTATACAAAATATCTTATTACAGGTATTATTATAATTACTACAATATCTATAACTTATAAACTATAAGTATCTATAAGTACAGTCGATATGGTATGTATTATAAATTTAGGAATAATTGTGTGGGTTATCGTATTTATAACAAAATTATTTACAGATTTATATAATGAAATTATAGTGCTATATAATAGATTATTCTTTAATATTGTATTACTTGTTATTTTATTTTAAAAGTTACTTATAATCTATAATATAGATTCTATATGAATATAAATGTACTTGTAGCTAATATACTTTAGACTTTCACTCTATTCGACAGATATTGAAAAGAAAATCCTTGAAAATATTAGATTATAATCATAATATTAAAAAGTATTAAAATAAGTTAATTAAATTATAGGCACAGTTAATGGTGAGAAGGCCTGGATATCTCTCTGTAATTTTGTTGAAGAGGTAAATGAGTTGATTTTAATTCATATATAATTTGGGAAATACATTATTGAGACTAATGAATGATGATTATGTTTCTAATGTGGTTGAAAAACAGGTCTCATCGCTAACTAAAAAGCAATTAAAAGGTTTTAGAAAGTTGTATGCAATGGGCTGTAAGTGCAAAGTGCGGCAGTCATCTACCGGTGCCTTCTTCTATCCTTATAACAAATACATTGAACGCAACGGTTATTGCAATTGGAAGACAAAATGGGAGGACGAGAATGACTGTCAGGCTCTGCACTCGATGTGTGTTCCGGTGCCACACAATCCCCAAGAGTGCCGTTGGGTTCCCAGTCATCCATACAATGATTGTATGAAAAGACGGCAACAAATTATTAATAAAAATCAATTTGAAGAACAAAATGACTTAAAAGAGCCATAAGAACTCAATAATCTTAACATTTGTGAATTATATGTGTATTTGTTAATAACAAGAGAATCTTGAAATTCAATTGAATTTTAAAAATTATGCTATGAATGTAACATAATAAAATGTTATGTAGCATTTTATCATATACTTAACATTTCACTTATGATTCATGTACTTTTATGAAAGCTTTTACATAATTAAATAAGTTATGTAGAATTTATTAGAATATTGTAATTACAGTATTACAAAATTATTCTTGTACAGTACAGAATTGTACAGTGCACATAGAATTTTGACATAATGAAAATAACTTTGTAATAATAATAATAGACTATAACTTGTAATAATAATTTGTATACGGTATTTAAATATTGTAATATCAAATAAAATATTAATAATTTATATATTTTATTAAAATTAAATAAACAAAATTTTAGCAAAAGTTGAAAAATATTTAGGACATGAGAGATTTTAATGTTTTTCAGTTGACTTTTTAACTAAAATATCTATTTTGGTCCCAGGTGGTTGTAACTTAACTATTCAAATTATATTAAAAGTTTTTTTTTATAAAGTTGTAATCTTAATTAGCCAAATAGCATTAAACTACTACTGACTGATATTGATTAGTTTATTTTAACAAATTGATTTATCTACCTTAATTCATTTCAATTTCAAAATAACTATTACATTGTAGATCAAATCATTTATAAATTACCATGCATCACATATTTTACAGCATACTACAGCTTTTTTTAGAATTCTAAACCCATAATATATTATAGAACTTGTAGAATTGATAACAACTTGTAAGCTATAGCTTTAATTAATACAGTATTTAAGGTTTTTAAAACATTTTGAAAAACTTAATTTGTCAAAAATCAAAGCAGAAACAATTGGTAATTTGTATAAACAACAGTAAGATTGTTTTTACTACGTTAAGATTGAAAGAAATATTTATAATACATACTCATAATATTCTTCTGAATTACGAGCACAGAAAGCAATTGAACAAGGTTCATGTATTGCATTAAAGAATTATTTTAAGTAAAACTTCACACAGGTTTTACTTGAAAAAGTGATATTTTGTGAATTTATAAAGAAAATTATATAAGTGTTGAGAACAGCATTAATCATAAAAGAGATAAGAGTGAGAAAAGTAATAAAAGAGTTAAAAAAATAATATTTAGTTTTCACCGAAAGAAGTGAATTGCTACAAATTAGTAATTACGAGATTCTTACCATTTCTCGATGATTGGGATAAAATGTTTGCTCTATTAGTGGAAAATTTTCTTTCCCCAACCGTTTTTGAATACCAATTAAGTGGGAAAACTAGAAATTATTAATTCAAACATTAATGCAATTTAGACACGTTTGACAGCATTTTAATGATTATATAATTCTATAACATACACTATAGTGCAAGCTATTTTGGAAATTTATTTTTTAATTTAATAAAAATTTGTATTAATACTTACAACCCATGGTCTGTCTTGAAAATTGTATGCTATAAGGTTTAAAAATATAATGAACACACAATAGTTGTGATTATTTAATAGAAACAAACCCTGACTACAGTTGGGAAGAGTTTTGACATTTCCAAAGGCCAGACCTAATAAGATATCTCTATAGTCCTCACGAACACAGCGGATGTGTTGACGAATTAAGACAAAGTCTGGTCGAAATGATCTGTTAATTATATAAATTGAATTGAATGTGAATGAGTTATCAAATGATGAATAGTAGAGGCATTCATACCGCGCAACCTTTGAACCGCTTCTATCATAACCAATAATACTGACAACACTTCCAGAATCAGAACTGGAGGCTAACGTGAGGTCCCGAAACTCTGCCTGTTTTCACACATTTCTATTGATTAAGCAAGCACATTTTAAATATTACGATTTAATACCTGTTCCACTCTAATATCCCATTCCCCCTGCAATCGTTTTCCTCGAAAGTATTTGGACCTAACAATGAGTTTGAGGATTTAGAAACAAAATGAATCGAAAGGCATTGAGTGACAAACCAATCGGTCTGGTGGTCGTCGATCACTAATAGGATCTTTTGTCTGTCTTTATTGGTAGCGGTTCTGGCGATCTGTTGAACCGTCGAAGTGACGCTTCCGGTCAAAGATGTGGCTCGAGATAAGAAGGACGAGACCCCGGAATGATGTGGTGATGTCGGGAGAAACAAACCCTGACTACAGTTGGGAAGAGTTTTGACATTTCCAAAGGCCAGACCTAATAAGATATCTCTATAGTCCTCACGAACACAGCGGATGTGTTGACGAATTAAGACAAAGTCTGGTCGAAACGATCTGTTAATTATATAAATTAAATTGAATATGAATGAGCTTGATGAGTTATCAAATGATGAATAGTAGAGGCATTCATACCGCGCAACCTTTGAACCGCTTCTGTCATAACCAATAATACTGACAACACTTCCAGAATCAGAACTGGAGGCTAACGTGAGGTCCCGAAACTCTGCCTGTTTTCACAAATTTCTAATTAAGCAAGCACATTTTAAATATTACGATTTAATACCTGTTCCACTCTGATATCCCATTCCCCTTGCAATCGTTTTCCTCGAAAGTATTTGGACCTAACAATGATTTTGAGGATTTAGAAACAAAATGAATCGAAAGGCATTGAGTGACAAACCAATCGGTCTGGTGGTCGTCGATCACTAATAAGATCTTTTGTCTGTCTTTATTGGTAGCGGTTCTGGCGATCTGTTGAACCGTCGAAGTGACGCTTCCGGTCAAAGATGTGGCTCGAGATAAGAAGGACGAGACCCCGGAATGATGTGGTGATGTCGGGGCACTCGTCGTATTACTTCCTCGGAAGTTGAGAGTCAGATCAGATGATTGCGACACTGAATGAGTTGGGACTGGATTAGAGTCTGTCTTTGTTTGTGGTCCAGAAGGTTGTCCTTCATTTTCCTAAAATGTTTCAAATAAATTACATGTATTTAATAATTACTTTATTTGAGTGTCTATGTCTACATACAGTATTCAGTGTTATAATCACTGGAAACAGTGAATTAAATAGAAATAATTTTGGGACATATAATCAAAGAGAGAAAGTGATGACTGCCTACCAATTCATCTTCAAATCCTTCCCCTGAAAGGTCTCCCGAAGAGAATCGCCTCTTAAGGAAATTAGTAGTCGAGGCGAAACTCTGGCGAAACGTTGAGAAAGAAATTTTGGCGGTATTTGTCGACTACTTATGCGATAATTGAGACCAATTTGTGTTTTGTTGTATTGTTATCAGATTGAGATGATCTTTACAATAAATTAATCATTAATTTCTTGATCGATGATTTAGTTTTCAATTTAATTGTTAGATTTAGTAAAAAGCCAACAAAACAGACATTTTGTTTGTAAAGTCTTGCTATGAATGGCAAAGCATTTATTGATTCCTATCGAAGACTTGCGTAATGCTATCTCTGCGGACTTCATAGGCTTTCCTATTGTAGTAATCGATCACATATTCTGTGGTTTATATTCTGTTAAAATATTTTTGTAGAAAACAATCATAATTTTATGCCATGATTAAACTATTTTAATATAATTCTAGATCTTGATGCAATTTATAGATAGTAACAGATACTGTATATAGGTATAATTGTTTAAATTAATTGACAATAAACTATTTGATTTAAATATAGCGTTAAACAGAGCTTTAAATAGTGATGAGATTCTGTGAATCAATATACGGTACACACAGTACGGTAATGTGTAATTAAGCAATACTTCACATCTATTATATATTAAATACTGTACTAATGATTCATTATAATAGTAATCATTGATTACTAAGTTAAACTAATCAATTATCATTATAAATCTCTCTCTCTCTCTCTCTCTCTCTCTCTCTCTCTCTCATAACTTATGAGCCATAAGCTAACATACAGACAGAATTGCATACAAATCTTTGTTCCATTTGTTTAATCATTAAACTTTAAAGCATACGTACAGTACAATGAATACAATGAAAACTTATGCGACATCTCTCAACGGATTTAAACAAATCTATAATTAAGAGTTTACTGCATTCAGACTGAATGATTCAGTAATCAAAATTTGAATTCAAATGAATAATATTATACAATATTAATATAGTATTTCAAAGATTCTAAAGTTAAAGTTATATATAAAGTAATGTAATGTTATCTATAATGTTAGCGTTTATATAAAAAAGAAAATTAGATCTAAATCAAGCATATTTTATTTTATTAGAATTATTTGTATATCTTATATACAGATTTCATACACGCATTGTTTAACAGTAATAACTTATTTAGCAGTTATTATATGACATAATAAATTGAATGAAAATACATTATTCTAATCACATGTGCTTTATACTGTAAACATCACATGTATTATTTTTATCTTGCTTTTAATCTGATTCTAAGTCTCTATTTCATTAATCTTTTTAGAAAAGTTTTCTAATTGTTAATCCATTTGCAATACATTTGACTGTATTTTCAATTGAATACCATATCTGGAAATCACTTTCTCACCGATAGATAAGGAAATAAAATTATCAAATAATATCTAAAACACAGTAATATCTAAAGTTTGAATTGAAACTGTTTGTCAAAAGGCATACTCTCTGTAGGATTAGAGCAAAGTTCACATCTCATTGAGAATATAGTGACCAAATAAGGGGTCACTTTGGCACCAATCAGTCCTTTCATGTATAGTTCATAAATATCTCAAAGCTATGAAATAAAGCTTTAATACAAGACTTGATTCAATAAAGCTTTCATACAATACTTGATTCAATATATAAAACCATTCGTTTGTTGGCTTTCATTGCATTCATATCTTCATTGACGACAATGACTACAGAGGAAGTTAGTCAGAGACTTCAGGATCTCGTCAACAAAACTGGGATTGCAATCACTCAGAGATGTGGTCAGAGATTGTATGGTCCACCCGATGGCTGGCCAGAGCCCGAGAGGGGGTGTGAGGTGTTTGTGGGACGACTTCCCCGTGACCTCTATGAAGACGAGTTGGTGCCACTCATGACTTCATTTGCACCCATATATCAGTTGAGACTAATAATGGACTTCAGCGGATCCAACAAAGGCTTTGCATTCGTTACTTACACTAAGAGATCGGATGCCATTGAAGCGATTTTCAGACTTAATAATCATGAGGTGCGACCCAACCATCGCATTGGTGTCACTGAAAGTGTGGACAACAGTCGTCTATTCATCGGTAATCTTCCCCTTAATATGACTCGTAAGCAAGTGATGGATGAGATGTCAGCCAAGACTAGTGGTGTAGAAAATGTGGTCGTTTACTATAACTCGTATGAATCGGCCGATGGTTGTGAGGATCGGGAGTTCAAGACACGGGGCTTTGCTTTCATTGAGTATAGAACTCATCGGTAAGTATAGCTTCAAATGATTTCATTTGAATTCAATGAAAATTATTAATATAATGTTTTGCAGGGATGCAGCCATGGCTCGCAAATGCCTATTGCCTGGTAATTATAGTGGCTTAAACTGTACTTGCATCTTTTATCAATCACTTGCATTTAGGCTCCAAATCGGGAAGAGTGATGCTGTTTGGCACAAAAGTGACACTCGATTGGGCCATACCTGAGCTCAAAGTGAACCAATTGGTTATGTCTAAGGTTTGCAGTATTTGTTATATTATTATATTCTAGCATTTGTCTCAATTTGGATCTACTTATAGGTGACAATTCTATTCGTCCGTTACTTGGGTTGTGATGTCACAGAAGCACTCATTAGAGAGTTCTTTTCGCTGAGGAATGTCTATAATCTAAACGTCCAAAGAGTCAAACGAATTAAAAACTATGCATTCATTCATTTTGAGACCAGATTTGATGCACAACTGGCTTTCAATTATATATCGCGTAAGTGTCCAGATTATAACATTACTTTATTCATCATTTTGTACAACAATTATGATTACATAAACTATATGTATGACTACATTGCAGACATGGATTTGTGTGAAACGCCATTAGGGGAAAAGGGTCAGGCTATAGAGTTAATGTGGGCTAAACCTCCTAAAAAGTGCAACTATAGAGATGATTGTGTGACCAATAAGTCACTGAATCCAACGGCTCAACCCTTCCATCAATATGCCAACCATACCAATGGACTGAACAGTTAGTAGACATCCAGACATGCATTGATATAATAATATAAACCTCTAATTGTATGCTAATAGGAGTGAATGGACGCAACCCTATCAGTGCTCACTTCAATCATAATTCAATTTCCTTTTGAATTCAATTTATACAGTGTTATCAACTTTATTACCTAATCAAATATCATACCTGCATATTGTACCTGTATCATTTCCAAACAATTTGTGTTTATATGACGAGAGATGGCTTTACTCAAGTCTTAAATAAGTTTTTCTTAATTTTCCAATCAAACTATTGTAACATTTTATTTATTTTTAGATTTGCTAAACCTTTTTTAAGTTTTTTATAAACATTTTTGATAACAATTAATTGTATAATAATTTATAATAACTTACCATTGATTAACTAAATTAAAATAAATGATTCAGTATTCCTTAAATTGCAAAATTTCAATAATTATATATTGAAAAATTTCCAATCAATATCAATCTAATCAATGATCAATTAAGTGATTAACAGTGGATAAGCAATTTATAACATTATATTGTGTTAATATAACAATAATTATTGCAAAATTTCAATAATTATATATTGAAAAATTTCCAATCAATATCAATCTAATCAATGATCAATTAAGTGATTAACAGTGGATAAGCAATTTATAACATTATATTGTGTTAATATAACAATAATTATTTAAATTTAGTAACAAACTAGTAAATACTGTATTAAGAAATATGCCGGTTTGTTAATAAATAAAATATTTTCTAAAAGTACATTATGTATAATAGTAGGCTACTATTAATTAATTATTTTAAAAATAAGTTATGCTAAAATATGAATAAAAATAACTTATAGTACAAAACAAAATATGTTCTACTAAAGTCTATATGGTGTCAATATCCTTGATAAGGTTTTCATAATTATCACAATTAATTATTTATTTGAAACTTTTCGGAAAAAATTAATGCATTACTGTACAGTACAATGTCTACACATTTGAGATTATGAACCCATTTAATAGAACCTAGGGCATACAGTATTAATATTTGAAAGTTAGTGCTCTAACAGTGTATCCGAGAGGCAAACGAATGAATTGAACGCAAAGGCGTCAAACAGTCTACGAGTGTCTCCATTGCAAAATTTCAATAATTATATATTGAAAAATTTCCAATCAATATCAATCTAATCAATGATCAATTAAGTGATTAACAGTGGATAAGCAATTTATAACATTATATTGTGTTAATATAACAATAATTCTTATTTAAATTTAGTAACAAACTAGTAAATACTGTATTAAGAAATATGCCGGTTTGTTAATAAATAAAATATTTTCTAAAAGTACATTATGTATAATAGTAGGCTACTATTAATTTATTATTTTAAAAATAAGTTATGCTAAAATATGAATAAAAATAACTTATACTACAAAACAAAATATGTTCTACTAAAGTCTATATGGTGTCAATATCCTTGATAAGGTTTTCATAATTATCACAATTAATTATTTATTTTAAACTTTTCGGAAAAAATTAATGCATTACTGTACAGTACAATGTCTACACATTTGAGATAATGAACCCATTTAATAGAACCTAGGGCATACAGTATTAATATTTGAAAGTTAGTGCTCTAACAGTGTATCCGAGAGGCAAACGAATGAATTGAACGCAAAGGCGTCAAACAGTCTACGAGTGTCTCCACTTGCAAAGCATTGCCCATTCAGACATTGTATTCAAGTCCTGTATATCGGGTTTAATTAAAATATATTTTGTGTTTATATATATTACATCACAAAATGGATTTCATTAAAGGTTGGGAATCTGTGTCCAATAGATTTCTGAAAACCCCGTGACTTTGATTTAAGGCTTACATTATTCACTACATTACATGAGAAGAGCCTTCAATATTTGAGAATTATTTAACTATAAAAACTATAAAACTCAAAAATTCTCGCGAGAGACAGAGAGAGAGAGAGAGAGAGAGAGAGAGAGAGAGAGAATGGCATTCCCATAGTTTAGTACATATTCTCATTGATTTGGAAATCGTATATCAAAGCTGTAACTCAAAGAAAGGTATGGCTTGAGGGCAGAAAGACGTCATTTTAATGGACCTCCAGGTGGGGTCTTCTTCTGTATTAAAACATTCATTTGTTTTCATTCTTTGGGACTTTAAGTCATTGAATACTTTATACTTTTTAAGGGAAGAACTGAACGACTGGACGAAGACAAACAGCTATGAGATGTTCAATGGTTTGGATGTAAGGGAGAGGAGGATAGGCACTGATGCCATCGGTTTTGGTGCAAACATTTTTAAAATTTGTATCTTATTATACATTTTGTACAAATCACTTAATAAATGAATTCAAATTGATTTCACTTTTAAATAATAAGAATTGATATACAGTATAGTAATATTACTATTAAATTATAATACTTATTTTTATTAGTAATTAATAATAAATTTATATTTAATATCAACTTTAATGCTGATAGGTATCAATGATACCAATACGTATTTGTAGTAGTTTTAAAATAATTGTATTTTCATAATATTAATACAGTATAATATTATTTATTTTATTTTAAATGTTATAAATGAAAAAATATTATGTGATATTTATTAATACAGTATAAGCTATAAGCTAATTATTATTATTATTTATATTGCTAAAAATTGAATATTAACAGAATTTTAATTTTGAATCTTTTATTTTGTAAAATATGGTTACCTTTGATAATTATTATAATGCTTATATTGTGATCCACGACATGAGGTCTGCTCAAAACTGAATGTTTAGAAAAAGCTTGAATGTTATATATGCAATGCATAACGTTTTTATTAAGCAAAAGTAGTATACTATTCTTACGATGAACTCATTGAACATTACAATAAACATATTATCATTTCAATTACATTATGGCATAATTACAGTCTTCTTAATTTATATTATACATTTTGTACAAATCACTTAATAAATGAATTCAAATTGATTTCACTTTTAAATAATAAGAATTGATATACAGTATAGTAATATTACTATTAAATTATAATACTTATTTTTATTAGTAATTCATAATAAATTTATATTTAATATCAACTTTAATGCTGATAGGTATCATTGATACCAATACGTATTTGTAGTAGTTTTAAAATAATTGTATTTTCATAATATTAATACAGTATAATATTATTTATTTTATTTTAAATGTTGTAAATGAAAAAATATTATGCGATATTTATTAATACAGTATACTATAAGCTAATTATTATTATTATTTATATTGCTAAAAATTGAATATTAATAGAATTTTAATTGCGAATCTTTTATTTTGTAAAATATGGTTACCTTTGATAATTATTATAATGCTTATATTGTGATCCACGACATGAGGTCTGCTCAAAGCTTAATGTTTAGAAAAAGCTTGAATGTTATGTATGCAATGCATAACGTTTTTATTAAGCAAAAGTAGTATACTATTCTTACGATGAACTCATTGAACATTACAATAAACATATTATCATTTCAATTACATTATGGCATAATTACAGTCTTCTTAATTTGCATATAATTGGCTGTTCAGCTAATTTGAGACTCAGGTCCGTGACCAACAGTGTCGTACATTTGGGCTATAGTTTGGTGCTCTGCTCTACCATTGCGTGCATTCATAGTATTTATTACAATCATATTATACCTGTATTTGCCTTTATTTAAAAGGAAACTGTGTTTCACATCATTCACGCCATTATATGAGTGGAGAGAATACTTGATCACGATTTCAATGAAACACAACATACTATGTGTCCTAATATTAACTACAATTTTTCATATACCTGTATAAAGTACAGTATACGGTATACTTGTAGTTGAGGACATCAATTTTAGTGCCGATAATAGTTTCTCTCTGGTCATTTTAGAGTTTAATCAATAGATGAGTAAGAAACATAATAAATATCCACAGTATTATATACAGTAAGTAATTAAATGGTATATTAAATTCTTTTATACATTTGTTAATTTTATTGAAATTTTGATATTTGTAGTATTTGTTAACTCTCTATTTTTTGTTGAATATGTATTAAACAAAATAACAAAATAAAACTACACAGTATGAGTATTCTTTGCAAATGTTACATCAAAATGTATTCATTTTGAATTTATGAAAGAATCAATTCCTATAAAATTAATTATATATTGTATAATGGTTGCACTTTCATACGATTAATACTAAAATGCTTTTAATATTTGATATTAGAAAAAGAGTATAACTACTTTGTTTTTACATTAGCTGATATCTTTTTTATTAATATTCAGTATATATAAAAGAAAATCTTAATCGATGAACAAAAATATTAAAATGAACCAAAAAAAGTAAATTATAAAAGTGTGCAAAGTCTAAAACAGACATTGAAGTTAGAAATCGAGTGAAATAAATAACTTTTCATGAAAACACAACATACTATGTGTCCTAATATTAACTACAATTTTTCATATACCTGTATAAAGTACAGTATACGGTATACTTGTAGTTGAGGACATCAATTTTAGTGCCGATAATAGTTTCTCTCTGGTCAATATTTATTACAATTAACATTTTAGAGTTTAATCAATAGATGAGTAAGAAACATAATAAATATCCACAGTATTATATACAGTAAGTAATTAAATGGTATATTAAATTCTTTTATACGTTTGTTAATTTTATTGAAATTTTGATATTTTTAGTATTTGTTAACTCTCTATTTTTTGTTGAATATGTATTAAACAAAATAACAAAATAAAACTACACAGTATGAGTATTCTTTGCAAATATTACATCAAAATTTATTCATTTTTAATTTATGAAAGAATCAATTCCTATAAAATTAATTATACATAGTATAATGGTTGCATTTTCATACGATTAATACTAAAATGCTTTTAATATTTGATATTAGAAAAAGAGTATAACTACTTTGTTTTTACATTAGCTGATATTTTTGTATTAATATTCAGTATAGTATTTTCTTTTAGAATTAG